TGCGTGACACTTACAAGGTGCCAAACTTGTTGATGAGAGTTGGCAGTGCCTGAGTGGAAGTGGATAGCGTAACAGCCGGCACTATGAAGTACTTTTCGAGCCAGTGACACCAGTAGGAGGCGATCTCGTAGGACGCCAGTCCACCGTCCGGGATGGGAACGCAGGCGGGGCGGGCAAAAATCAGCCACGGATAGGGCTACGGAAAAAGGAAACAGAGAGAAGATGCAGACATTGACGAAGAAGAGTGCAGGGTGGCCGAGGTCATTAATCAGAGGAGGGTCAGACAGATGGCTTCAGACATGATGTCTTGCAGGTACTCCAAATGAAATGACAGCACAACTGGCTTCGCATACGCTGAGCAAACGTAGGCAAGAGTGAGGTATGAAACCCCACTGGGAATATTAAAGTTGCACACAACCCTAGAGCCAATCGTAGCCCTGCCTAAAATCCGTAAGCCTTACCCCTATACGGTAAGATTTTAACGAAAACCCAGAAGTAACAGTAACCAAAGCCTAACGCAAACGCCTGACTGTGGAACCTAAACAGGAAACTCTAACCTTTAACCAAAAGCCTCAACCCAAAATCCAAACTCTAACCCAAGCGTGGCAACCCTAGCCACACATCTAAATAAAAAAGACAGCACATTTTTGAACAACTACCCAGTGGATTTGCATGCCAAACTTCCCGCCCAAAAGTCCATTTACGCTAGCGTTTAATAAAAAAAACCCGTGAAAAGAGGATTCAAAATGGACGAAAATGTGGGTTAACAATATTTTTGAGTGTATAGCGACCTGCTTTCGATGGATAACAGACATGCTTCGGAAATCAGCGCCGTATGCAAACGGCTACCGTAATCTAATTAATAACGATGTATGCAGAACTTCATCGACTGGCTTCAAAGCTCCTATTCCTGTCAATCAAAATAATCCGAAAAAATGCCTGAGGTATCAAGGTGAGAACTCGCAACAATACGTTCGGCTATGTTCTGGAAAAGGGAATTCTAAACAAGCACAGAAGATAAGTGACTGCACCTTAACCGAACTTAGAGGGATAAGTGCAGAAAAATGCACAAACCAACTCAAATCAGCAAGAATAGTGGTCGCTGCTGTGTATGCCCGCCGATATTGTCGGGACAGCATGACACGATGCGCGCTTCAACCGCCGGCTAAGGTCACAGACACGCCTGCATCCATTTTCTTGTTCTGACTGGCCAGCCCGTCACCCCTCTCTTTGTTCCGACTGGCTGTCTTTCAACCTATGACGTTTAAGCCCCGCTTTAAATCCCTCTTTGTTAAAATGGCTCATCACTTGAACTGTGCCTTCGTCCTCAGTACACGTCCTGCCTACAGTCCTCTGGTTTGCCTACATGACATTCCGCCTACAGGCAGCCTTCTGTTTTATATACATTACATTTGTCCTGCTTACAAACCGCCTTCCGTTTTCAATATATAACAGTCACCACAAGAACCAGACACTCAAATTAATACGACCAGAATCACACCTATGTTGGAATATACGATAAGATAGTTCGACTGTCGGTTTGAACGAGATCAACCGTGTGCCCCACCGCATGGTGGCGCAAGGACGGCGTCTTGATCGTGAATCC